ATGGAAATCACAGCAGAATGCGGGAATCTCAGCAAGGCATTCATTCCAGCGGCAAATCCCAGAAATCAGCAGTGTTCTCAGTCTGTGTTTTTGGCAGGTCATTACACTACCCCCCTCTCAAGACTGAGGTCCCTTCGAGCGAGTAACTCATTCAGAGTCGGCACAAAATGCATCGTAGGCGTAGATCAGAAAGAGAGACTTAGTAATATACCGTAAGAAGTGAGTCTTGCAGAAAACTTRGCAGTCTGTCCATCAGCGATCTGTCGTTCGTAAGCGTTCACAACACGTGGAGCATTCTTTAGCAGCTTTCTCCGGTCGATCCAGAAAAAAACGCGTTCAACGGGTGATAGAGGAAGTGAACCTTATACTGTCTGTTCCTCGCTCTGCCTTCATGGGAAACAATTTTGTCTATCTCATGGCCGCTGTCGATAGGACGAGGTATCATAGGATCTCGGAAGGGAAAAGTTTCATCATCGATGTGTGGAAACAGTTTGGATGCGTGAAAGACCGGATATGTACGCAGATGAGGAGGCACGTGTATCACATATGAAGGACCAAATTCATCCCCAATCACCTTCAGAACCGGCCAAGGGCCATAGTACAATGGAATAAGTTTCCGTGATACGCCCTCTTCATCAGAAAACTCTGACATTTTGATCCAGACATAATCCCGTACTTTGAAGTTTGGTTCTTTGTGCGACTTGTTAGCGTGTTTGATCATGGCATGCTGACGCTTGTTCATTACTGCGATAGCAGCTTTGAGCAGGCGTGCGAAACTGGCATTGTAGTCAGGCATGCCGGGCGTCAGAGCAGGGGACCGTCCGGGGAACAAATAGGAGAGAGGATTGCGCAGCTGTCAACCATATTGCAGCTGATTCGGTGTTACGCCAGTTGCAGAGAGAATGAAGTTGTTGTACAACCCTTTCACTTTGTGTAACTCCTTGTCCCACGTGTTCTGATTTGGAACAATTAGCGCGCAAAGCAATTGAATGACAGTCAGGTTGATTTCCTCGGCCAATCCATTGGCTTCAGGGTGTCGACCAGAAGTTTTGTTGAGTTTAATGTCATAGATCTGTGAGGTGAAGTCCTTCCAATCAGCACTAATGAACCTGGTGTCCCGATCACTCACAAGAGTTTTCGGGGGTCCATACTGCAGAATGTACTGCTGGTGAAATTCTTCGATCACAAGCTCAGTTGGTGCATGAGGAGGTAGAGGAATCAAGTTCAGAAATTTGGAAAAGCGATCCACAATGAACATGACTTGTGAATGTCCTCCCTCACTCACCTTCCCCATGTCCGTGAAGTCGATAGAGACCGACTCTCCGGGCCTATCAGGAATTGGGAGAGGTTTCAACAGGCCATAAGGCTTATGCCTATGAACCTTTGTTCTTTGACCGACTTGACATCCAGCAATAATTTTCTCAGCAGATCCCTTCATTCATGGCCAATCAAACTGCTGGAGAAGACTTCCATAAGTCTTCTCAATGCCAAAATATCCACTCCGACCATGTGCCAAGTCCAAGAAATGAGGCCGTAGAGGCGCATGGTTGGGTATACACAAACGATCAAACTTCCTATACAGGCGGAATACAAGACCCTCGCACTCGTGAAAATCAGGCTGACTACTGGGGTCAGCCTTAAGCTGCTCAAGGATGGGACTAAGGTCCGGATCCTTGGCAGTGTGTTCGACCAGATCCTCCTTTAGTTTCCTTCGGAGGTCATAAGAGTCCACAAGGCAAGTCAAATACTCAGGATGACGCGACAAAGCATCAACAACACGATTATAACAGCCTTTCTTACGCTTCAGTTCAAAGTTGTAAACATCAATGTCATGCAGCCAGCGGGTCAGTGTCGGAGAGAGATGAGTTTGAGCCTTAATCCACTGCAAGGTCTGATGATCTGAGTAGACCTTGAAGTGGCGACCCAAGACGTAGTGCTTCCAATGTGTGAGCACCTCGTGCAAGGCGTAGATCTCACGCATGTATGTGGAGGTAGCTACCTTGTGGCTGGGCATGCGTTTGCTGTAATATCCGAGCGGACGCAGACCATCACCATCATCTTGTTGCAGCACTGCACCAATCCGAAACTGGCTTGTGTCCGTAGTAACCACGAACGTGAGGTTGGGATCCGCAATGCAGAGCACAGGATGACTCACCAAGATCTCTTTCAAGGCTTGGAACGCAGTCTCACATTTCTCACACCACGCATAGGCAACATTCTTACTTGTTAGTCTGGAGAGTGGGTGAGTAATGATAGAAAATTTGGGTACAAACTTTCGATAATATGAGGCCAAACCCAGAAAAGAATGCGGTTCGCGTACGTTTGCCGATTGAGGCCAGTTTCGTATGACCTCAACCTTGGTTGCCTCCGGCTCAAGGCCGTTCGCAGACAACCGGTGCCCAAGATAGATGACGCTGTCCCTTCCAAACTCAGATTTCTCTAAGTTGAGGTGTAGTTGTGCCTCCTTGAGGACCTGCAAAACCTCCTCAAGGTGCTTGACGTGCTCTTCCATGGACTCGCTGAAAATCAGGATGTCATCGAGGTAAACAACAAGAAATGTTCAGCTGATGGCGGAGGACCTTGTCCTTGAGGCACTGAAATGTGGCTGGTGCATTCGTRAGACCGAAGGGCATAACGATGAATTCGTACAACCCATCGCGTGTTTTGAATGCAGTTTTGTGTTGGTCACTCGGATCAACTTCAATCTGGTGGTARCCAGACTTGAGGTCGATCTTGGAGAAGACCTTGCACCCACCTGCCGCATCTAGCAGATCATCTATGCGAGGCAAAGGATAAACATTTTTTCTGGTGATCCGATTCAGGCCACGATAGTCAATACACATCCTGAGTTTGCCTCCTTTCTTCTGTACAAACAA